CTAACGATCAAGAAAATTAATCACACGAAAATCAAGCTGGCCAGATGTCGAGTAATTTCGACCCAGGCCAGACTTTTAACGCTAAAAATGCAATTCATATAGCAAGGCATACATAGAATGTACAGTGCTAGCTAATGCTCAGTAGGCATTTATGCTATATTACTAGGAGTAGGCTAGTAGTACTGTTTTAGGAAGGCTAATCGAACCTAAAACAACTTTAATTGTTGGTGCAAATATATTTCAATTCTTACCAAATGACGATAAAATTTTGGGTTTTGTTTTTATACATTTAGACCTATGATCTGCTTCCTTTCCTACTTCCTGGACATAATGCAGGGTACTCCTGTTTATACTCTTCTGTAGCAGTAATTTTCGCAATGATGTACTGCCAGTGATATGTGCTGTAGATATTATTATATTGGCTAAAATTAAATATTTTGGCGTCCATATTGGATTTCAAGATGGCGGCCACTAAGAAGCGTTATTTTTGGGGGTCTATTTTTTTTTAATGATTCTTAGGTGTCATGGTATCACTGTCGAAAGTTTCATACTTTCCTGCAAAAGTGCACGATTCTACCTGAAATTCAACTTTAGCCGTGACGGCGTGGTTGTAAGATTTCGTGCAAAATTTCCAAAATGTAGGATTTTACTTTGAAGAAAAAGGATTTGAAAATACATTAGATGCCGTTACATTGCATACTCTTTGTTTCTTGTTTTGTTCAAAATGTTTTGGTTTTGGAAGCTCATTTCAACATTAAAAAACATAGCCTACATGAAGTCATATAATAAATAATAATAATAATAATAGTTGGATTTGTAGAGCGCATCATGCGAAAAAGCCTCTATGCGCTTGGTGATTGAGCTCTTTGAGTTGGACATTTTGAGAAAAAAGAGAAAAAAGAAAGTTGAAGTTATAGTAGCTCGATGTCTCAAAAGTAAAAAAAATTCGCCATAGTTAGTCAAATATCCATTGCTTCTAGGGGTTTAAGCCCCCTGGACCCCCACCGGGGCTGTAGGCGGCCCCTGGCCTCCAGCCAAGTGAGGCTCGATTTGCTCCACTAGTCCCCATCCCCGTCGGGGCCTTTAGCCCCTCCGTCGGGCAGATCCTGGCTCCATCACTGATTGAATCTGCTGTATTGCAAATCACAAATCAAGAACCCCAAAGTGGACCCCAAAGTTGATGAACCTCGTAATTATGCCTATCACCAGCAGCTGATCCGGACATTGCCCCGGACCCGGACACGACAGACTCAAATCGAGATTCCCGAGGGCCGCGGTGTTCACTTTGGGGTTCTCTTAATTGATTTGAGATTTGCGGTCAGCAGATTCAATAATGTGCTGTATGTACGGCACTGTGTCCCTGAGGAAACATTAGTTATGCTTTACAATTCTTTTATTTTACCCAACTTGATTTTTGGTATTGAGGTATGGGGCAGCACCTACGAATCGCATTTAAAACCTTTATTACTCACTCAAAAAATGTGTGCCAGATGTATTACTTTTTCTAAATTTAGGGCTCATTCTGTACCTTTATTTAAAAAACTTAACATTTTAGACGTATTTAAGCTTCATAAATTATATATTTTGAATTCTATATCAGACTTATTTAATAACAGATTACCACATAGTTTATCTGATTATTTTGAAAATATTTGTCATAGTTATGCAACAAGGTTTAATTACGAATATAATTTAGCCATATCAAAATGCCGAACTTTAATTTAGGTAAATTTAGAATTTCTTATATGGGTGCTAAACACTGGAATACAATACCTGTTAAGTTAAGAGAGACTACCTCGAGGAATGTTTTTGTTTTAAAACTGAAAAAAATACTTTATTCCGAGTATGAAGATTGATGCCTATTTATTTATTTTCATTATTTTATTTATATATTTATTTTATTCTATTTTATTTATTGGGGCTGGGGGATAGTTAAAAAGGGCCAAGCTCGATTAGACTTGTCTATTTCTTGGCTCCTATTGTATACCATTTGTTTGTTTTTTTTGCGTATACAATAAAGAAGAAGAAGAAAAGATTAATTGTAATTTTAGAGCACTGATGAATATTTATTACTTCGTAATTTGCATAACGAATTATTTATAAACCATGGCTTCCTACAATGTCATTATTTATATATAATTGGCAGTAAGAAACCATGATTTAGATAGAATGACGTTCACACGATAACACGTGTGCATTATATACATATTATTATACATATAATGCTTTTGCGACAGCTATTATTTATATATAATGAAATGTAAAAGCAGTTATTTATATATAATGAGTTTGAAGTCAATTCGTTATTTATATATAATGAAATTAGTGAACTTATTATATATAAGTAATTGTAAGTTACTTTTTATTACTTATATATAATGATGTGTTGCCCTTTTCCTTATTTATGTATAATGAAACCAGTAACCTTATTATATATATATAAATAATGTTTGGTTACCCTTTCATTATTTATATATAATGAAATCAGTAAACTAATTATACATAATTATGAAAACGTTAAGGCAATTATTTACATATAATTTTTTAGACGTAAATGCATTATATATAAATAATAGGCGATCTATTTAATTATATGATAAATAATAAATTATATATAAATAATTGTGTTAAATAATAAATTTACACTTGGCGCCTCATAGGGAACAGTGTAATTCACTGTTCCTGGTATTAGAAACCATAGAGATATAATAGAATACTAGAGCGCTAACCGCAATGTATTCGATGTTCGAAATACGCAGAACTGTCACGTGTGTGTACCATCCAAGATGGCTGCCATAGATTTAGCCAATAAAATTTCGCTAAGCACCATTGTTTGCAATTGCGCCCTCAATTTACTCAAAAAGTTCAGTACAGCTAGTTACCCGTATGTTTGAAACTCGAGCGTTGCGGTGTTTGCGTGTAATGTACACGATTTTAATTTTCATTCCTTGGTACTTTATTTTTGAATAAGATGCTCCACTTGGCCTCGTTTTGGCTACAATAGTTTAATAATTTGTTATTACCATTACTCATTATCATTAATGAAATAATAGTCAGTCAGAGGGCTTATTAATATGTAATAATATGTATACTAAGCCTGAAGGTGGCGCTTTACTACGACGGCCATCTTGGATGGTACACATACATACCGTAACTCTGCATTGCTGCACCATCTTGTCAGCACTCTAGTTGTTTAATAGCTCTCTAGAAACTTCATTCCTGATACCCTTTCTATGGGACGCCAACCAGGTCAATTTTAATTTAAAATCTGCATAATACTGTAATACTAAATGTTTGAGGGTATTAAACTAATACCTTAATACCCCCTACCTTAATACCCTATAATATTTAACATATAATATATTGTATATATATATATATATATATATATATATATATATATGTTGAGGTTAACATTGAACATCGCCTGACGTGTCACTGGGTTTTATTGAGTTTAGTGTCAAAACGTATTTTCTTTCCCTAGTAATGACACGCGCAAACAACAGAGTCACCTATGCCTTTTGCTGGGCCTATAGGTTCCCCTACATTTACAGTGCCCTTACAATTAAAAATTATTGTTTCGCTACCCACAGTATTATAACCAGACTATGAAATTCGAAAATATTACGAAACAATCGTATAGTTGAAATTTATTGATATACAAAATATTTCATTCAGGCCTACCGACCTATAGAACTATATAGCTACTGTCAAAAAAGCTTTCAAAACTGTCGCAAACAAAGTGAAAAGTTCGGAGATTAAATTTCTTAGAAATATCATGTAATGGCGGCGATAGTTACGTAGGGGTCACCAAATTTGTTAGAGCCCATTTAAAAAAACAAAAAAAAAAAACATTAACGTGAAATTTTTCAATGACATGTGATTCGTTGATCTCCATGTTGTCAGTTGTTACAGGACAATTAGTTGACAATCATGCATTAGGTAAAGTAGAGGAAGATGAAGTTAGACAAGCCCTTGGAATTACCAACCAAACTATGGATACACTGATGTGTTTCATACTATTAATTATCCCTATTAATGCAGTATTATGCGTATTTTTACTAATGTAAAGTAAAGAATTTGAACGAAATTAAAATAATCGTAGTTTTTCAATGTAATGTTTTATTGGTGGGTTCTTATAGGTGGTGTCTTATCAGACGATGTCCTTATTCAGTTGTATCGCCTCTGCTTTACAGACAGTACGCCTTTTTGTTATATGCGTTATAACTTTATTCTATGTAAGTATTTAATAAATATTATATTACTTCATAATGCATTTAAAAAACGGTCTTTGTATCGTAATGTGTTATTGTTTTTGAGCTTTTCCCTAATGATATTCTCTCCAAAGAGGGCGTATATGGTGTTATCTTTAATGTGAAGTACATTAGTGTGTTTGCATGGTGCGCTTCATATGTCTAACATTAAATTATCATCATTATTTCACTGGGGCTTTGTTAGAAATTCAAACCCGATTACAAACTTTGGTTTGTACACACTATTATGCAAACAACGCTACTCAACGCACTACAAATACCGTAACACTGAAGTTATATCCCAGTTGGTCATGGCGTCTGCAGATACAGCAGAAGTGCCGAGCTCAAAATCCGGTTAGGGCAGCTTTTTTTTTTTTTCACGTGTTCCACATGCTTATCTGTTGATTATAATTATACTGACATATTTTTGTTTAAGTTTAATACAGATTATGTGAAATTCAGTATGAGTTAATTTTGAGTTATTAATGGCGTTATTCGTTATTTCAAAGCAATTTTAATTCAGAATATACGCTTATAATTATTCATTAATTTGTTAATTTTACAGATAGATTCATATATTGTGGCGCTCTTCTCCACTTTATCTATATGTATTGCTGCTGGCAAAGCAACACACTCAGTACAAACATCAACTGGCTGCTGTTGCGCAGAGAATACCACGCAATCAGAGCCGGTATGTCAGTTTATATAAATAATATAACAATAACAACAACAATGACAACAGGGGCGGAGGCGGCAGCGACGACGGCGACTACTGCTACAGCTGCGGCTACAGATGCTGCTGCCGCTGCTGCTGCCGCTGCTGCTGCCGCTGTTGCTACCGCTGCTGCCGTTGCCGCCGCTACCGCTACCACCACCACTACGACTACCACTACCACTACTACAACCACTACCGTTTTTGTGCACGAAGAATGACCCTTTTGTTTCGGGTACATACCCCTACACGAAAACAGCTCTTACCGGACAGTTTTGTAGGGATTTGTAAGGGTGTAACTCGTACGGTGCGGTGTGAGTTTTGTTGTGTTTGATTAACGAGACTGTAATTACGACTTTGTTAGAAGTAACATCAAGGTTGTAATTGCAGGTTCGAGTCCCACCAGAGGCATTTTATTACACAATTTCTTAATTCATTTATTTACAGGATTACATTCGATGAAAGCTATGCTACGAGATGTATTATTATGTCCTTTATTTGAACATTGTATTTACCTTTCATTTATGATTTTAATACGTATTAATACGTTACGAATACGAAACATTGTATATATATATTATTTGAAATAAATATTTGAAATACAATATATATATATATATATATATATATATATATATATATATATATATATAT